GCCAGCCTAGGGTAGAAAGTGAGCTTAAGACCAGCTTGAAGTACATAGCAAAACCCTGTCTCAAAAAGATCAATCAATCAATCGTACACTCAAACTAGATTCTAATGCCCTCTGTGTGCCATGTTAGAGTACTACCTCAATCCTACTAGGAGAATAGGTAAGTAAGGTACTGACATTTCTTTTTCAAAAGGAAGAAAAAGGTTGGGGCTAAACATTTTGAAATTGGGGAAATATAATCATTTAAGGCATTATTTGTTTTAGTTGTTATTACTAACAATTATATTTAATGAGAACCTTTGACATCCTAGGCACGTGGCATATCACATGACCCCTATGAGATAAGCATTATTTACATTTGCAACCAGAAAAAACACAGGTCCAAAGAAATTAAGTATCCTCCTCAACGATGGAATTGGGTTTTAGAATATAAATCTGTCCGTCTAAATTCTAGCCTGTGCTGCTCAATACTAGCAATTAAAGTTCAAATGTCCATTGAATTGAGCTGCTGGCATTTCTTTCAATCAAAAACAAGACAGTGGAGTAAACAATATGCTGCCTTAATTATATTTTCTCTTAAAACATAATGAGCCATTAGAATAAAGCATAAAGATAGAAAACCAGACATTAATGTTAATTACAGTTTTAAAGTTAATACTCAGACATTCATTAGTGACAGTTGTAGTGATTTATTTTTCACACAGTGCTCAAAATGAAGTGATTTCTACACTGACTTTTAAACATAAAATAATTGCCAGGCACGGTGGTGCATGCCTGTAATCCCAGCACTTGGGAGGCCAAGGTAGGAGGATCACCCTGAGTTCAAGGCCAGCCTGAGCTACTTCAAGGCTAGCCTAAACTACATAGCAAGACCTTGTTTCAAAAAACCAATATATTAATTAAACATAAAATAATTAAAAGAATCAAGCATTTAATCATATCAACTACATTTTTAAATATATAAAGTTTATTTATGGTTTATAAGCTACAGTTTCTTAGTCAACTTCACCCACAGTAGTAAAAATACCAATAATCATGGGGATAGGGTTACAGTTCAGAGGCAGAATGTAGATATGAGTCGCCGGGTTCGATCGCCTACACCAAAAAAAACACAACAAAACCATAAAACCAAAAAGAACGAGAAAACCAATGTTCAATTTCAACAAACTGCCAGATACGCAATATATTTAGTTATAAAACCTGGAATATTTGGCTAGGGGTGTAGTTCAGTGGTAGAGCTCTTGTCTAGCATACACAAGGCCCTGAGTTTGATCACCAGCAAAAAAAAAAAATACAAAATACCTGGATACCACGGCACATGCCTGTAATCCCAGCTACTGATGAGGCTAAGGCAGAAGGACCACAAGTTGAAGGCCAGCCTGGGCAATTTGAAAATAACAAATAAAAAGGGCTGGGAATGTATCTCAGTGCGACAACTTGGGTTCAACCCCCAGTGCTTAAATAAATAACCTGAATACTCCAGAGCAAAAGTACTAGACCTGTAGTAACAATATAAGTATTCACACCGTAAGAGCTTAACATACAAAGGTACCATACATGTAAAGAAAATATAAACAGACACACTGAAGAGTTTAAATTTCAAGTTCTGATAGTTTCTCGGCCTTTTGGCTAAGATCAAGTGTAGTATCAAATCGGTAAGACACTTAAAAATGGAAAAACCCAGAAACTGTAAATATAATTAATTTATCTAACAAAAAAGGAAAGTTTTCTGAACTAAAAACACAAATGCATGTAAACATATATTGTTTTTGTTTACCCAGCAACCATTCTCTCTTTGCCAGGAAAAAACACCTGACTTTTCCTTTAGGAACTAAGTATCGCACACTCTTGTACCTTGTTCCCCTTTGCCCCAACCCATAGCAAGAACAAAACCCAAGCCTGGCTACACAAAGCATCCCATCATCCGGACCCTGGAACTGCTTCTAGGATAGGCAAAGACCCAACTCAAGACAACGAGACCACCTTATAGGATTTGACAGAATGGTAGAAAAAGGGAAGCTGTTTTTCTTCTGGCGTTTCTGAGGTTAGGCATGTAAGTCTAAGGCTTTTGCCACAAACTTTCCCAGCGAATCTGACACCACAGACTACTTTTCCACCAAATATTAACAAGGAACTAGTGATTCCATGCTGAAAGAGGAAAAGATAAACTAGGATGTGACTTTCAATGTTATATTTCTATAATATTCCCATTTTTAAAAAAATGAACACACATAACTTTTTTTCTTTTTCTTTTTCTTTTTTTTTTTTTTTTTTTTAGGGTCTCACTATGCAGTTTAGGCTGGCCTTGAATTCACCATGTAGCCCAGGCTGGCGTCAAGCTCACAGCAATCCTCCTGCCTCAGTCTCTGAAGTGCTGGGATTACAGGCAAGCGCCACCATGCCTGGCCACATTACTTTTATAACAGGAAATATAAAACATTTAAAAATACTGTCCCTATGTTTTCTTCTCAACTGCACTGATTTTAATATTTAATGTCCTAAAAGCATTAGCAATGTTCTTATAGTTTACCAAAGCAAATAGAAGTTCTATCTAAAAAGAAGTTCCTTTTTCCTTTGGCACACAATAAAGCTATTTTTATTTTGACTGTGGGAAAAAGTTGTAAATGCTAAATCTTTTTTTTAAAACTGGTTCTCATATAAAAAAGAATATATTAAACCACTCTATATATGGGAAAATGTTTAACCAAGTGCTCCAGCCATTGGAAAATAGCTCAAGGGGTTAAGCTAACTTTAAAGTTTAAAAGTGGAAAAATTGTATTTAGAAGAAAATTATTACATTAGTCCTATCTCAGCATGCTGGTGCATACTTGTAATCCCAGCTTCTCAGGAGGTTGAGGCTGGAGGAT